GAAGAAGATGTTTTTGTTGTTGATGATGATGATGTCGCTGGTGATGATCATAATGAGGAGGGAGATGTTGTTGTTGTTGTTGTTGATGATGATGTTGTTGTTGATAATGTTGATGATGAAGATGATGTTGTTGTTGATATTGATGACGATAATGATGTTGATGACGTTGTTGTTGGCGATGTTTTTGTTGATGTTGATGATGTTTTTGTTGTAATTGTTGATTACGGCAAAAGTAGAAACAAACATGGTAGTAGTGATGGTGATGGTGTCTTCACCATCACCAAAACAAGAGTGATGTTGTCACAATGGTAATAATTTTTGTAACATCATTTACTACTATTAATTATGACCTTGCGAACTTCGAGTAAATGTCCACAACATTACCATGTTTTTGCTTCAACTGGCTAATAATTTATTAAACTATTGGAGTAGAGGTTAACAATGTTATTTACAACACCGTAGTTACAATAACAACAACAACAAAAACAACAACAACAACTAAGATAATTAAGATAACAATGGCAAAATTGTCAACCAGAGTTGATGGTGAATGAATAAACGAAGTGATGAACGTTAAAAACAGTGGGGGTAACGAAAGAGGTTTGGTGGCTCATTGTATGAGAAGAGAGTAATTGCCCCACCGGATGTGAAGCAAAAAATTTATTGGCCGGAATATTTTCAATTGTGCCGATGAAAAACTTAACGTTACGTAAGGACGGACGTGTGACAAATATGATGTGACAGAAATGACAAATGATCGATACCGATGAAGAAAAAAAATTAAAAGTCAATTGCCGAAATGATAAATTGTTTATTCATTCTACGCTCCGTCCGTCTATCCGTCATCATCATTCATTCATCCGTTAATTCGTTTGTTCATTCGTTTACTGTTTCCTTCATTCGCTCCTCAGATTATAGCTCCATTTACGCATCTACTTAAAAGTGTCATTTGTTGTAGTCATGTCAGGAATTTTTTGTAACGACAGCAAATTAAAAAATCTACAAATGGTCGTAATTAATATTACAAATTAATACAATTGATGTTAATCATCGCAATTGATATAATTGCGTTGTGCTCAGCTTAGTGGATCGTCAAACAAAACGTCTTGCGTCACATACACACATCTTATTAACAGTACAAACACGACGTACACACACACGTACAACTACATACGCAAATTTCCTGCATCTACTGTAAGCCATCAAAAAAATTGAAGGATTATCACATTATCGGTAAAGAAAACTGCATACTATAAATACAAAGAGAAGCTTTTTAATAAATACAAGACACCTACGTTTATAATAAGACATACAGACAGACACATAGACGCACATAAACACGCACAAACCCAGAAACAGACACACACATACACGGAAGCAAACATACAAACAGGCGTAGTCAGCGAGCAAGTTTGGGCCATATAGCGAATGATGCAGACATTAATCACAAGGGCGTCATAGTTGGAGAATACAAAATTGAATAAATCACCGGTCCATCACATCACATCTATCCATACAAGTTATGTATACAAGCGGTATATACGCAATATCAGTATCGGTATAAACCCTACATATACCTTTTATACATAAGTGTATTTTTATGAATGTACAAATCTTAAATATATTTGGACATTATAACAATTTTAATGTATATATTTAGAAATTAATTCACATATGCACTCAATAGATCTAGGTACTAAATATTAATGTATAAATATATTGCCTGTATATAAATAAATAGGTGTATGAATTTCGTATATATATTGTTTCATCTATGCATTAGCAGATCAAACACATACACAAATTTATATTTATACGCTATATATATATATATATATATATATATATATATATCCATACATACACACATATACATAAACATTTACACAATACACATATAAAAACATACACATACATGCATACACACACACACATATACACACACATACATGCGCACGTACATAAGCACATACCCACGCACGCATATGACGATACATTTCATTTTCTCTTTGGGCTAAGCAACTGTCTAAAAAAAATTTTTAGATTGAAATATGTTCCACGAATGTTTCTGATACTAACATTTTTAATTTAAGCTTGTTATTTCTATTTTCTATTGTGACACATTATTATATTTTCGTTTTTATTACTATCATTATTATATTATATACTTTTGATAAAAAGATAATTAAAAAAATTTTTCCTGAGTGACACCTCGTTATTTTTCATTACGGCGCCATCAGAACGGTGGGAAAAAGAATCTAGAAATAATTTCAAACCTATCATTGAAAATCTAACATTTTTTGAAAAATATAAATATTGTCATTTATATAGAGCAGGGGTGGGCAAACGTTTTGCTGTGAGGGCCGCATTTAGAACTATTTTACATTTGAAGGGCCGCATGTGTACTTGTTTCAAATACCAAATTTTTCTAAAAGGGGCAGAATTTTTTAAAATTTGTGGCTTTCTTTTTTGGGTCATAATGTCTGTCTGGCTGACTACCTTTCTTTAAGGCGAACACGACTTCGTTCGCCGCATAAAATAGCTTTGTGGGCCTTATGCGGCCCGCGGGCTGTAGTTTGCCCATCTCTGATAATGAGACAAATTTCTGAGAACTTATAAAAATTGTCATTTATAAAGAGCATAATTTTTTTTAAATTATAAAAACTATCATTTATCTATAGCATAATTTTTAAAAAATTATAAAACTATCATTTATATATAGCATAATTTTTAAAAAATGAAATGAAGATAAAAAAAACTGGACAGGCAAAAGCAATTTGTAGATATTAAAAATGTATACGAAAGGATGTGACTATGCGCTAAATTGGAGAATTATTGAAAAAGTAAAAGGAAAGGAACAAATGATTGAAACGTTGCTCTAGATAAGAACAAAAAAAAGACAGACAAAAACCATCATGAAAATCCAGAACAAGAAAACATATGGAAAAATTTTATGATTAAAGGTAGAAATAAATTTTTCAGTAGATTGAAGCAGCAAACTCTGATTGATCAAGCTTACACAATACACAGAAACAAAACCAACGAATATGATACGTAACAAAATAAAACCACACACACACCACACGCACTCACACACACACGCACACATCACACACACGCACGCACAGCGACTTACAAACGCAAAATATTTCCGTGGTCACATGCAACGAAAAGTATTCGAAAAACAAAACGGGCATGCGGGGAGGAGGAAATGTAAAGAGAATTGAGAGAGAAAGAGAAAGAGAGAAAAAAAGGAGAAGAGTGAGTGAAAGAGCGGTGGAAAAAGAGGGATAAGAGAGAAAGAGAGTGAAGAAAGAGAGAGAAAGAGAGAAAAGAAGGTGAAAATAGGAGCAAAAAAAGAGAAAGAGAGAGAGAAATGAGGGAGAAAGGGAGAGAGGGAGAGAGTTTTATAACTGTAGCGCACGAATGAAATGAATGACATTTCAAAATATCCATATATTCATATAGGCTAGCATTTCCTGTTTTGCTGATGATAATGATGGTCATTACCATCGGCCACTAGGCTGTTGCTGATAACAATTGTTATGCTAATCTGAAGTAAAATGACGATGATGGTGACGAAATGAATGATGATGATGACAATTATGTGACTGATGCAATGATGATGAAGATGATGTGGACTTAAATACCATTAGAATAATGATATGATGATGATGACGATGATGGTATGTGAGCATTCTGTGAAGGCAATATTAATAGCAATAAAAAGTATTGAGATGATTATTTAGTAGAAATTAATAATAATAATGAGGACGACGATGAAGAAATAAAAGAGGAAGAGGAAAAAGAAGAAGATGATAATGATGATGAAAGATGAAAAAGAAGAATAAAATGATGATGACGAAGATGATGATGACAATGATGATGATGATAATAAAGAAATTGATGATGATGATGAGTACGATGAAAATGATTGAACAATGACAAATATAGGACTTTTTCAACGATCAGGAAATTGAATAATAGCTACTAAAATGATAACAACAACAACAATGATGACGGTACATCTGACTCCTAAATGACATTAATGATGATGAGAATAATGAAAGAAAATAACAACAACAACAGTAATAACAACAACAGCAGCAGCAGTGTAAGTGATAATAAGTTCAAATTGCTTGAATGATTTGTATGTGGATTACAGTGTCTTTTTCGTTATTTTTGTCTATTTAATAACCATGGAAGCAATGTTACCTCAGTACAAACACATTGAAGCAATGAACAGTACTTTAAAATTGAAGTTCATACTATGCTGATGGTTTGTTTTTCTTCTCTTTAGTTTTTCATTTAGTTTTTGTTAGATTTTCGTATGTTTCCTTTTCAAAGAAAATAAATTTATTTCAATTTATGTGCGCAAACAAAAATTTTATTAAATTTTTTATCGTAAATTTCTATTTTCTTCAAAGATTTTTTCATTCTACTTTTCATTTTAATTTTATTAACTCAAATTTTGTCGGAAAATCCTACCTGCTTTTTATTTTTACGCGGATACTCGTGCATACTTAATGAACGAACGGGTAAATGAATAAAAGTGTGACGCAATAAATTAAGGAAATTAATGATTAAAATTATTTACAGAGATTATTTAAATAATTAAAAATACGAAACTTACAAACAAACTAGCAAATAAACGAATCAACAAACAAACAAAACAAACAAACACAACAATTTATAATCAATAGTAGTTATAAGTATAAGGTTATGATTGATAATTTTCTTCAGAGTTTATTTTGAGATGATTTATCGACTGACGAAGAGAAAAGTTATTTCAAAATTGGCGTGAATTTTTTATAAGAGGCCTTACTTTAAATAACTAAAAATATTTTATAAATTTTTTAAAGTAAATTATTAAAAAAAAATCAAAATTTAACTATAATCTAAAATTTGAAGAAACTGAAAAAAATTCATTCATTCATATAGCGCTTACTTTCTCTTAGTTAGAAAGATGACACACATCATGATTGCACCCACTACAACGCCTAACAACACTCCCACGGAAATTGCCAAAAACACACCTGTTCAGATTATTATTTTTAAAAAATTATGAAAATTTTTGTAAAAATTTGCAAAACAAATTAGAAAACTATTTGAGAAAATGTTTATTTCAATAATTATGAAAAATTTTAGATAGAAGAAGATAAATGATAGGTGGATGGCTTGTTTTTTAATATCCAGGGATAACTATGGAATGGCTTGTTATTCATCCTTAATGAGAAGGAGGTTATAGAGTTTTAATATAATAATTATAATTATATTAAATATTTTATTAGTTACGTAATTGTTTTAACTTTATTTATTTTCAAATTTTTTTAATATTCATATATTTATTAAGCTCGTATAACAGAATGTTTAGTCCAGATTCCTTAATTAACAAGCGCTGTCAGTTTCGAGGTAGTCGGAACATGACAACATCATGTCATAGTGTCTCAATGTTATGACGTCATTTCATAATGTCATGACGTCATTGTCGTAATGTAATGACGTCATAATCTCATAGCGTCATGACGTCATAATGTCATGCCATCATCAGTAACGTGGTTGTTGGTTATTATTATATAGCCATTGTTAACAGCCAAATCTAAAAATCTAAAAGTCAACAAAAAATATAATTTACGAACAACGCACGTAAAATATTTTGCAAAAAAAAATAATAACAATAATAATAATAATATTATTATTATTTAGATTTATATTATCTCGCATACCTTGTTTGAGATCTTCAAAAGACTGTGCCGTAGACTGTGGGTACTTGGAGTATGATGAAGATTCATCTGTGAACATTCGTGTGTGCGTGTGTGTGTGCGTGAGTGCGTGCGTGTGTGTTTGCGTGTGTGTGTGAGTGAAAGAAGTAGGCAAGTATGATATGATATGATAACATATATTTCCGTGATGTTATTTTTGAGGAGTAATAAATTTAGTTTTTCATTGATCAAACATATCAATTGATCGAAAAAAATAAAGTGATCGAAAACCTTTGAACTGAAAATAGTTTAAAAAATCGTACGACATGTGGGATTGAATTTTTGAATTGCGTTTAATTAATAATTTCAATTTACACTGTTACTGTAATGTAATGTACTGTAATGTAATGTACCGTAATGTTACTGTAATGTAATGTACTGTAATGTAATGTACTGTAATGTAATGTACTGTAATGTTAATGCTACTTCCACAGGCCATCATTATCATCATCATCATTGTAGTATCCAGTCAAATTGATCTTTCGTGAAAATAATTTGCAGCAGCTAGACACAGGCACAGACGCGCATATACAGATACACACACATACACACACACACAAACACGCAGGCACACGCACACACAAACTCATAGAAACGCCCACGTCATCACGTAGACAGCAGCACTTGAACACTAATACATAATTGGAGGCGCCGCAGTTTAAACACTTTGAAGCTCTCCCGCCATTTTCCTTTCGCAATAAAACCGCAGTGCCGCCGAGGTAAATCACATTACGTCACGCTCACCGATTTCCTCTTGACGATTTGTTTACGTTCTCCTCGGAAATTCCAGAAGTGTCGGGTACGTTTTGTTTTTATTTCCTTTTAACTATTTTACTACCTTCCGGCTTTTGGGGCGTCGTTCGTCAGACTGGTTCCCGGTCACTTGTTCGCTCGTTCATTATTTAACTATCGCTCTTTTGCAATAATTTCTATTGCCGTTTCCCCGCTGATCTCTGTTTAGATATTTAAATCTTTCAGTGTGTGTGTAGTTTTTTTAACCTTTCAGACGTGCCGTCACCACGTTCTGACTTTCCTGGACAGGATGTTTGCATGCTCATATGCACGGCAGTTCCAATATATTCTCGCAGTTCTTCGCGTAACTTGCTGCAACAGCCTTGGAGGTGACGCAACGTTTGACGGTGCTCGTCATCAATTTTTATCGCTCCTTTTATAATTCATTTTTTCGTTCAACTTGAAGCAGGTTTGTTTTAAAATAGTTTAAATTTTCAAAATGTTCTTGCCTTAATTATTGAATCGCACGATTTTTAAAAAAACTCAACCAAAACTCACCGAATCCTTTAGAAGAGCAGTTATTCTCCTTATCTCCAACCCACTCTCCATTTTGACATCGCACGTGCCACCTTTCCATGCTGACCTGGCACGTGATTGTGACGTCATCGTCGTTGTTTTCATCACGTGACACTGTAGCTCCTTCCGGCACGACCAAATTTGAGCATCCGATGGCTGAAGGAATGGGAAAATGTAGATGTAGGTTAGTATGAAAAAAATAGCTTTGAATGATTTCAATGTAGGCAGTGATGATAGCGATGGGAACGAAAATTCAAAAACAAAACAAAAATATGATTGATGTAATCTAAAATTTGTCCAACAACAAAAAGATGGAATGATGTTTTGTGAGCACGCGTTGAAGACATGATTGCTACTTTTTCTTATCTATCTTCATCATCATATCAAACGCTATGCGGATATCTCACGGACGCAACAACTGCATTCACGTACGTATTTTTGTGTTTTATGTGCGTGAAATATTGACACAATGATGCCAATCAAATGATAGATACTGCAACACAAAAGTTTGCGACAATTGTGTTTATATTGTATTTTTTGTCTATGATTTGAATGGTTGAAGTTTAATGCACTCTTTATTTTTGTCTAAATTTCCAAAATTTTAGCCTATGTAGAAACATGTTTGTGCATGCATTAACCTGCTAATACAAATGTTTGATTCGTAATAATTTCATATTCTTTTTTTATTTGATTAGTTTAAAAGTTTCACAACAAAATTATATTCTCAATTTGCCATTGTTCTATATATAACATTTATTTTTTTTCTGATTGCTTCGTTTATGTATCTCAAATTTTCTTCTATTTAATCTTAAACACCAACCACTTAATAATTAAAAAGAAAAATTTGAATTTTTTGTTGAAAGTTTAGAATAAAAATTTTCGCATGAAAATAAAATAATAATTCTAAAGTGCATCGATCAATACGTAAATTTCGCCATGGATTACTTCACGCAAGACACTTCTTCGGGTTAGGCATCTTGTCTTCCCATTTAGACCATGAATGGCTGCTTGCTACGTTCAAACAATGCAAACGCATTTGAAACGCGTTTGCATTTGAAACACATTTGAAATTTGAAAAGCAATCTGCATTTTATTATAATAAAAAATTGTTTTAAAACATAAAACTGAAAAAATGTGCAAATTATTTCATGTAAAAAACATACACATACACGCATGGAAAAACATGCACACATACAAAAACATACACATACATACACAAACCTACAGAGACACATCCACGCATACACATGCAAGCAGAATACGCAGAGAGAGGAGGCCTCTCATTATTTCATTATATTTGTAGGGGCAATCTTGTTGATTCCATTGAGGAAGCAACAATGCGCCACATAATTTTTTTTCGCACGAGAGCAATGTCGATTTGTTCATCATTATCAAGAATGTTGCGTTGTTGCGGGCGTGCTCGAGTTAAATACGCGCATATACTAACGCGTACAAAGACACGTATCCGCGGATGTGCATTCACATTCACATCAAACGATGTACACGCAAATGTACGCACGCTGGCGTACACGCAGACACACTTTGAACAATGTACACACAAATGTACGTCGTACACTGATGTACATTCAGATACACACTAGACACTGTACAGGCAAATGTAGGCAAGCTGATGTACACGCAGTTGAACTTGATACAATGTACAAGCAGACACGCAATGTTTAGATGTGCGTTTAGTGTTTTTTGTATGGCGGTGCTGCACATGCCTGTTAGCAATCTTTGAAGTGAAGGAATAATATAATCAGCGTCATCATCGTCGTCATCACCTTATCATCATCATCATCATAACGAGCAAAGTTGCCGTTGTAAACAATGTCCCTGCATGAGTGCTACTCTCCTTGTCGAAGTCGTCATCATTACCAGGAGAGTTTTGTTATCATCTTGTCATCATCATTTTCATCATCATCACCATCTCCATCATCATCACCAACAACATCTCCACCATCATCGTCTTCCTCTCCATCGTCATCTTATTTGCCTGCATCGCAGAATTGGTCCCGAATGTTTAAATTAGTTTTAAATTGAAACAAATTGAACAATTAAAAGGGCTACGTATGCTCCACGTAAACATTATCGTCGTCGTCGTCGTCATCTTTGCTGCCATCATCATCATCATCATCATCATTCATCATTTATCATTTCCATTTTTTATCAACATCTTGTTAATTATTATCACTCATTTAATCATAATCTACGTTTCGTTATCGTCATTAACATCATCATCATCGTCATAAATTTAATAATTTTTTTATTTTTATCATCCATATCATTATACGTTATGAACGATAACGCTGCTATAACATCATCATCGTCATCATTATTATCATCTGGTATCCGTTTCGCACTTTGGTCGTCATGAGCATGGCCCAGGTACATGCATATTGCATATCATCATTGCAATTGACATTGTTTGTTATTACACTCGTACCAACAACATCGTCATCATCCACAATTCTTCACCACCATCATCGTCATTATCATCATTACCAACAACATCATCATCGACAGTTCATCATCATCACCATCCACATCGCCTTTATCTTTTCCATCGCTCGTATGGAGCACAGCGAACATTCCAGAAGCCACGTGGTCATCAAATAAGTTGCAATGCAACTAATGATAATAAATTACTTTCACGCTCAAGATGTCGCCCCGACGGATACAACGCAACTATTTATTCAACAACAACAACGACAACAGGTATTTTTATAACAACAACATCAACAACAACAACAGATGATTTTATTACAACAACCATAATAACGACCACAACTCAACTATTTATTTAACAACAACAACCGTAGCAACGCAACTGGTTGTTTAGTTGTTTGGTTAGCAAGAACAACAACCATAACAACAAAACTATTTAATCAACAACAACAACAACAGATGTTTTTATAACAACAACATCAACAACCATAATAACGATCACAACACAACTATTTATTTAACAACAACAACCAAAACAACAAAACTATTTATTCAACAACAACAACAACCAAACTCTTTATCTAATAACTATCATTAATGTCTTGCTTTTTGTTATTGTAATGTATTTTCATTTAGTTATCCGTGTCTTCAAAGCGTTTTATCAGTTGCTGTTATGTTAACTTGTTTCTTTAGAATCACTGATTGTATCTAGCCATGAATGCTCTATCTTGCAACCGCAAACACTAATATTCTCGCTATTATTGTTGTAACAGTATTAATAGCAGTAGTAGTAGTAGTAGTAGTAGTAGTAGTAGTAGTAGTAGTAGTAGTAGTAGTAGTGGCAGCTGTATCATTATCAGTAATAGCAGTAGTAGTAGTAGTAGTAGTAGTAGTAACGTCACAACTATTGATGCGAATTTATTTTTCTAACTTAATCATTAAATTTCACAGTTAATAAAACTTTACAATGGATTTCTTTTTAAACGTTAATCCTCTAAAACATTTCAATGCATTGCTCGCCTCAATAGAAACTCCATAATAGGGCTAATAAGGTAGAGGCAAGGAATTGAATGTAACCAGTTAGGTAACCAGGTAGGTAGTTAATGTGCCCGTGTTCAGTGGTATCTTGCTCATTGTGTTTGACTGGAAGGCTGGAAAATTGATTGCATTGTATGAGGTTTGTGCAGGCATTATGCTTGTTTGATCGCGCAAACATTCCTAAGTAACGAGACGTGCCAAAGTTTTTATACTAGCGAGTTTGCGTCTTTGTGTTGGTGCCTGTCTGTTTGTTTGTATGTGCGTACGATGTCTTTATGCGAGCTAGTTTTTATGACACTCCGATATTGGTTTTTTACTTTGTTTTTTTTTGTTTGTATGTATAGTTTATGTTGATGTATTTATGTTTGCACAATTTAAAAAAATCTAAGTGTACATTTGTTAACGTTCAACATATGTTGAAAAACGCCTATGTATCAAATGTGAGAATCTATTGATGAAATAAGTGTACAATTGTATGCAAATAAAGTAATTTTACACAGTCAAACAAACACACACACAATTGCAGACAGACAAACCAACACACCCTCTCTCTCTCTCTCTCTCACACACACACACACACACAACACATAACACACATACATACATACATCCTAATAACGAAACGAATAAATATTAACTGTAATTGATTTATGCATTGGAACGTAGGTCTGCCTTGATTAATACGTTTCTGATAGCGCGGAATGTATAAGGGTCGTTATGTTACTACTGCTATACATCAACTATTTTTATATCGCTTACTTTTATTTTGGTTATTTTCACTCCTCTGATTTATTATTATTATTTTAGTGTTATTATTATTAAAATTGAAAAGCAAACAACATAGTCAGAAGTCAAATTCATTGCTTGTTCATCGCTGGTTTTTGTGTTGGTTTGTTTTGCAATTTTGTGTCTAGAGATCCATGGCATGTGCATGTGTGTCAGTGCATGCGTCTGCTAATGTGTGCGCGCGTATGTGCGTATGTGTATGTACGTGTGCGCGTGTGCGTACGTGCACGGAGAAGGTAAGCACAAAAGTCGTGTCATAATTAGTTAGATGGACTCATGTATAGAGATGGTACAAATAATACGTGAGGCAGAGAAACATTGGCGCAAATTAAGATGAATGTTCCTCGCTGCTGATTGTGTCTTGCTTTCTTCAATTATCTTCATTCAGTCAGTCATAAAAACATGACTCACGCACACGCGCACACATACAATTAAATTTTCTTCACATGCAGCATAAACGCACTTGAGCTCAAGATAATATAAACAAATATAAACACGCACGCAAATTGGAATCTGCCCATCTGGAGCAAGACACGTGCGTCACGTCAGCGAACCGTTGCATGCAAACACGTGCGCAGTGCATGGATACTCCAGCGTTATTATTCAATAATCTATTCATTGTTAGTTTGCTCTTCAGTGAATCTCAGAGGCTAATCTACACGCACACACATTCGTTTAGGTATTTGAACTTTGAAGCTTCAAGTTATTTATAGGGGTTTGAAATAAAATTTAAAAAGTCTTCTCTAGAGTACATGATGTATTATGAATTCAGTATGTTGGCGTGGAAGTGCATCAGACGTGGTGCATGTTCAACTCCAACCTGGATGCTTCCCTTTCAAAAAAGATATATGCGCTAAACATTAGGCAAATACAAAAGTAATCATGTGCAGAGAGTTAGTCGCGTCATAAATATAAAAAGAAAGCTAATTCTGATTTGCAGTGTTTCAAATATTAGCAAATACGCACATGCACGGCTCACACGCTGAGGTTGTTGTACGCCAAACTGTATATCGATACATTCAAATTTGAACTTCTTTCAGGGCACACGTAGGCACATTAGTGAACAGCAACACTTGCATAAAAATTGTTATATTTCTCTGCTAACAAATGGTAAGAAAAAACATGCGCAAGATGTGCATTATGTGTTGGACGTGAATGTCAGTGCATTGTTGGTGCGTGATCAGCTGATGAAACTTTCAAAACCACCCCAGTCTTATATACGCATGCACGGCTTTAAATTAATTTGCTAAAAACTATTTTTTAATGGCTGACGGCAGTAGATAAATTATTTTTCGTAAATTCAATCGCTGATGTACCGTAAGCATTTTGTATGTCGTGCACAAATATGCAAACATGTTGAAACGTCTTCCAACAAACACATAGACAGAAGTAAGATAGAAAAGTTTCATATATTTTTGTTTTACTTTAACTATTTTAAATTTATTATATTTATCCTTCGAAGATACTTTGTGTGGTGTCTGCAATTGTTTAGTGTGAACATGCTTGACTGAATGTTGTTTTTTGTGCAACGTACATGTGTGTCTGTGTGTGAATGAATGTCTGTGTGTATGTGTGTGAATGAATGTCTGTGTGTTTGTGTGTGAATGAATGTCTGTGTGTGTGTGTCTGTGTACGTGTGCGAATGTGTGTGTTGGCACAGGCGGGAGATCACAAGAAGTTGTTAATTAAATGAAGAATCCCGCCGGACGTCCATTGTTATTTTAATGAACGCAAAAATCAAATTTGTCGAAAAGTGAGAAACGTGGGAGGATGGACGGAGAAACTGAATTATAATTAAAAAGAACAAAAGACGTGAAAATTAATTTCATCATATCAGGTTGATGTTAATCCCTAATACGAAGTAAGAATGAAAACGTGAAATGACGTCAGCGCTGACATCATAGTAACAAATAGCATTAACCAACATCAACAACACGGACATTAACAAACAAAAACACTAACACCCATTATAACACTAACAACATAACCTCTGATGAGCTACAAAAAATTCAACAAGAAATCAGTGGCGTCAAAACAGCAACAAAATCATCATCATCAGCAACAAAAACAACAACAACAACAACATCTACAACAGCAACATATGTTCATTCAGA